TTTATTTTATTTTTGACGGAATTTCATGAAGCAGTGCATGAACTTGTTATCTCTAATATTAATTCTTGACGTTTAGAACATTAAATACTCAATTTTGCTTTAATATCGCGAAGAAAGTATTTGTTTGTTTAATTTGTTTGTCATTATTTTTGTTAAAAAAATATAAATAATTTGAATTATGTTTAAAATAATAGGATTTTTAAAAAAATTAAACAGAATATAAAATTATATATACAAATAGAAGTGAATATATTACTAATAAATTAATCGCATTGGTGAAGATTAAGCTCGCATACAATTATATCAAAAAATATATACATTTAATATTGTGTATATTAAACTGAAAAGGTAATATATTGATATTTCAAACGGTGTATGAATATTTTTAACAAATTAAATTTTATATATGTGTAATTATATATATTTCGATTTATGTGTATTATATGCTATGTTATTTTACGGAAAGTAATAAATTAAAAAAAAAACGCTAGTCAACACATTCTTTTAGAAACAAATATTGATCCCCTTAAGAGTGTTATAATTGTCTGCAGACAAGAAAGATTCCCTGCCGTATCGATCAAAAGCCAGAACTATGAAGCTACTTATGCTGAACAGAAGAGGCATCCGACTTGTCACAGGGTTTCTCACTGTGCATTGCGGAGTGAGTTAAAAAGCATCTATCGAACCTAGGTATTACTAGATACGATAGCTGCAGACTTTGTTGCGAAGAAGAGGAAACAGAAGAAAATATTTTGTGTTACTGTGATAATCTCGCCAGAGTCAAACCTATCCACTTACAACGAAATTAAACAACATCTCTCCAAAGTACATAATGGCGTTTATGGAAAGTAGGTATGTCACCATAATCCCCAAAGGACGCAGTGACGTGGTGACAAGTTTCCAACTCGTTTTAAAATCTAATCTAAATCTAAGGGTGTTATGTAGCATGTTAATTTCGTTAAAATTTCGTTACACTCTTAAAACGCATAGAATTTCTATTGTATAATAGATGAATCTTGTTAAATAGTAACATTTTATTTTAAACAAATTCTCATTTAAAACAGTTAAAGATAAAATAAACTATAACTTATATGATATTTGACTTACAGTAAATGTCATCTATTTTGTTACTAAAATGATATTAAAAATGCTGTCGAATATCTACATTGTTCTTATATACATTTTAAGAACACCAAAGGAGACGGTATGCTCACCTATCTATCATTCTTATCAGCGATTTTCCAAATGTATTTACAAATGTATTTACAAAACTCTATATTAATGGCCTAAGTATGAAATAAATAGAAAATACGATAATGAAATCCACAGAAAACGTAACAAATGTTGGTGTTGTTGGCTTTTTGTTCGTCTTGTTGTTATTTTTGATATTGTTCTTCTCCTCATCTTCAATACTTGTTTTGGCCTTTTTTAGTGCTACAAGCCAGCACTTTGGCGATTGTTTATTTTATTTTTAATGTGTGAACTAACTTAATTATTGAATACTTGCGTGGATGAGTGTAGTGGTTTAGTTTGTAGTTGATATTAATAATATAGTGCGACAATTCACATGCTATGTGTTATATTCACTATTTAGAGGTTATTTATTATTTTTAATAGTTTATACCATAGGTAAGTATATTTGTAAAAATTTTGCTATTATCTTTAAATTAATTAACATGAATTTATAATTCATTAATTAGCATTTAATAGTGTTCAAAATTAGTTAATTATTCAAACAACCCGCTCAGAGAAAGAGATCAGAAAGAGATTTCAATATGTTAATTTTACAAATCAAATAAAAGAGATTAAAAAATTAAATCATCATGTTTTAACTATGATATATCAATCTGAATAAATATTCAAAAACAGTGAGTTTTCAATGAGACCACTAACAGTATTGTTTGATATTCCCTGTGTTAATCTTCTCAGTTTTTTAATTTCTTAAGAAATTGAGAAACTGCTGAGACTAAGGTTATCATATAGTAGACTTAACATAGACTTCTTTGTAATTTCTCAAAACAACAAATAGTTATTGCAACTCAATTTTTTATTTATGTTTGAAAGCATTGTGACAAAAACTAATATTATTATTATAACGTTATTATAAATTAATATCTTACATTATATTAACCAATCATATATTGGTATATGATGTTTTTTTTTTTTAATTACTCGAATATCCACACACTAGTATAGTGAATTTCTGTAAAGAATGGCAGTGACCCAACAACAAACTACATGGTTAATTTATTATACGTATAACCAATCATATATTGGTATATGATGTTTTAATTACTCGAATATCCACACACTAGTATAGTGAATTTCTGTAAACAATGGCAGTGACCCAACAACAAACTACATGGTTAATTTATTATACGTATATAAGAGTAACATACGTCATCAATTCAATAGGCTAGAGTTCACTAATCGAATGTCTGCCGCGAATAATTTAAAAAATGCTCTGGAGTTATGGGCAACTTATCATATTAAACGATTATATGAAATTTGTACTTCAAGCTCTCCTACAGATGTTGAGCACTATAGCTCTAAATTACTGGTTCCAATTCTAAGCGCAACGGAAAGTGATGATGAGGGTTCGGTGGATGTAATTATTCATCAGCTTCCAAGAATGATATAGAAAACTCATTCAAAATTCAGAATTTATATGTGCATCAAATGATATTACAACTGATGATCACTATAAGCATATGAATAAAGTGGAATCTCTTTTTACTGAAAATAAGAAAAAAATTAAAATCCCAAACCCTAATTTCTGAATATTTTACTTCAATATAACTTCTGTGTTTTATTTGATTCCAAATAAATAAATATCTTAAAATGTAATTCAAGTTTCTTTCAGAAATAAAAAAAAAATTAAAAAATTCTCTAACTCGAAGTCTCCATAAGTCGAACCTTTCCTTTGCAAAATTGGACTTTGAGTTATGGAAGTTTGACTGTATATACTTTTTGTATATATACATATGTATATATGAATTATATACATTAGTTATATATGCTATATAAATAAGTTATATACCATATCTTATATGAATGAGTTATATATGTGAACATGTAACTTCTTCAAAAACAGATATAATAGCAAATGCCTTACTTAGTAATATGCCAGACTATTAACTAACATATTTATGTTGTCTGTCGTTATTAGATTGATCTAAAAGTTGTAGTACTGATTAAAAAAATTCAAATAGATTATTAAAAAATTACATTTTATATTAATTTGATATTTTTTGCATTTCATTTGCTGTTTTTGTTTTCAATTTTTATAAGTTTACTTGTTGGTAACCAGTAATACTAATAGTTGATATAATTCAGAAATCAGTATAAAAAGTACCAATTTCTGAATAGTCATATTATAGTCTAAATGGTTTTATTGAATATAAAACAAATTATTGATGTGTTCGTGATTTAAAAAATTTGTCAAAAATAAGTTCAATTATTAGCGGATTTTTTTTTTATTATATTAAAATTGCACCTAGTCTGCTTAAACTAATTAGCCATATCGATATGACGGAAATTATTAGTGGAATGAAGATATTCACCAAGAACATTTTACGTTCAAATTTTCTGCACATTGTTGAGAAAAAATGGCTTCGTTTTTGAAAAGTGTTCTTAGTCTTGTCCAGATAAAGCTATCTAAACATACATAAACAGCTATCGAAACATGAAAACGTAACATGAAATCAGTTAATAAGTGCATTTGTTATTGTTAGTTAAATAAAATGGAAGTTTGTTTGTTTATTTAAATGTTACTAGTCTCTTTTAAGTGTATCAATTATTTTTCACCTGTAAGAGAACTTTAAAACTGGTTATGCAAATAAAGCCCCAGAGTATATATAATGTTAATTAAGAATATCTCTATTTTCATATTCTAAGTCAGCGAAGCGTATTTAATTTATACCACCTCATATTGTATCTTTACATACAAATTATATCATAATTATAGTAATATTCAATTAATTATTAAATGTTGATATTTAATATGTACTTTTTTCTCATTTTTAGAAACAACAGAAAACAAAACAATGTAAACAACATCAGATTTATGTAAATGATTTAACTACTAAACCAAATCAACAATATTTCAATTTACATACATATTTAGAGTGATAAATACAAACACAAGAATAAAAAAATAAATAAATTATAAAAAAGGTTAATTAGTTTCAATACCATTTTTTTATTAAAATATATATAAAGTATTAATTCAATTTTGTCACTCTGCGAAACCTTTATGAATTAAGTAAAGAGAAGTAAAGAGTTTAAAAAGGATTTAAAACCCATTATTCTTTAGTTAAAGGTACAAATGAATAATAAAATTTTTAATTACAAAAACAATAATAAAACCATAATACAACTACAACAACTGCAATACAATCCGGAATTTAATTTTGAAATTCTAACAAAATTTAAAATTTTCACTTTTAAACGTTTAAATCATAATCCAACTTCTATAGAACAAGGATAAATGAACTGTAAGACCCGTATACCGTATACCCCGAAAATTAAGCCAATGCATTTGCATCGTAAATAACATACATACATATATACTCACATATGTATTAAAGAGAAAACTCTGTTACTGACCCAACAACGTTCTTTCAAATAAACTGCAACAAAATCGCAATAAGAAACTACCTTTAATAATAGATGGGAAAAAAAAATAAAAAATAATAAAAAACAAAAAATATACGAAAACCAGTTAGTTTTGGTTTAGGAAAAGTAGACGTTGCTAACCGCGCTGTAAACCATAGTAAGAGAAGAGAAAATTTGGAAGAGAGAAATCAAAACAAACGAACAAAAACAAAGCCGAATACTAGTTTTATACGGCATGCTTGTTTATCGGTAGCAATAAAAAAAAAATTATAAAATTCGAATTGCTCATGAATGTATTAAATTACGATTCAACTTGTATTTTTTTTTTAATTTTGGTAAATTTCGTTGAGCTCCTAACACAAAAATATAATTAATCGAATTAAATCTAAAAACACCCACTGCTTTTGTTTATTAATTTGAAATTTTTAAATCACAAAAAACAACAAAACAACATTGTTTGAAGCCGACTTAGTGCAATAAGTCTAGTAAGCCTAGTAATGTTCTAAGACTCTTTCACAGTACATGCACTAATAATAACTCATTAAAAAAGAAAAAAAAACTGAAAATTGTAACAAAACAAAAAAAAATATAATAACTAGAAAATTGTGTATCATTTTGTTTTGTTTTGAGCTTGGCTTAGCTCATATAAGACTGCGACACAAAGTCGCAGTTAAATACAAAAACAAGTATCAACAGCGTTTGTATTTCCATTCTTAATGTGTATAACTACAGCTTCATCAATAACAATAATAATAATAACAACAACAACAACAACAAATTAACGTTAACCAAACACTTCACACAGGCAATTTATTTTTGTTGGCTTCCCATTTCTGTACCGACAAAACTCGATTTGTAACGCTTAGATGTTCTCAATAGTTGATCAATTCGAAGATATGGGACAAATTAATCTAGATGTAAGTACTATTAATTTTTGCTTTTCATTTTAATGATAGTTCCTTAACAAAGCTTTTTTGTCTCCCATTATAGCACTATTTTTAATGTTTACGTTTTAGAAAAAACAAAAAAAAAAATCAAAGTCTTTTCTAAATACATAATCGACAACAGTCTACCATATTAATTTGATAAATAAAAGGCAAAAATAAGAAGAGTAAGTACTGTAAATATATCGCTTTTACAAAGTTTCTTTAAGACGTATTTATTATTTTATATATACATAGATATATATATACATATATACGAGTCAATATACAGTCGAATTCCGATAATTAGAAATCACAAGGGAATAGCATTTTTTACAAATTAGAGGGGGATTCAATTTATCGAGGTTTCGATTTAACGAGGTTAAAAAAGAAGAAAATACGAATTAACGGGGCCTTTACATTTAAATTGATTTTCACTTATTTTATATATGTATATAACTTTATTATAACTAAATAATCTAATTTACATACTCGTATGTATTTACATCTTACGTACTATTAATTCAATAAGAAAATAAATAGATAATCTATGTTTAATTGTTCGACTGGACATAAATATTCGTTTACATCTTTATCAAAACCGCAAGCCTGGAATCAGTTCTGAATGCAAAATAACACCGTGATCGAGGGGCTGCAGCTTGGAAATTGTGTTTACTGGTAAAAAATTTATTTTTACGTGCCTGAGATTAAGAGTCCCATTATGCGCTGTACAATTGTCCATAAAAAACAGTATCTTTCGATTTTTAGTATTCATGCTATCATTCAGCATCTGAAAGCATTCGTTAAATAGATCCATTGTCATCCATGCCTTCTTAATGTGTCAGTAAAGCATTGTAAAGCTACAAATGTTCTTGAAGCACCTTGAATTTGCAGACAGGTTTTTTGACAGGTTAAATTGAATTTCAAATAAAATACGAATTAACGAGGGGAGCAAAATGTATGGAAATATTACGAATTAACGAGTTTTTTTCAAGTAACGAATTGTTGAGGTTTTCGATTTATCGGAGTATGAATTATCGTGATTCGACTGTATGTGCAAGGTGTTTTCTACTCGAAAACACCTTATTTTTGTTGTGATCAGAAACTTCTAATATCTTAAAATGATCTATAGTCAAATAGCTTAACTCGTACAATATTTTTGAGTTCATTAAATATACTTTAATTTGATTTGATACCTAATATGTAGTTTATTTATAAAAATTCGGAACTTATGATGGTTCAAATAAAAGTTTTTCTTCTATTATGCGCTATTTTGTTGCAATCGTCTTCTGAATTCGTGCTACTTACTGTTTTTAACCAAACAAAAAGAAGCCATAAAACAATTCATGTACACTAATTAACGATTATTAAATTTTATTATATAGAATGCTTTCAAAAGTTATTAACATTAAAAGTCAATTTAATTTTCAAGTATTTTATCAGTTTTGTTTTTGTAGTCGTGATGGTGGATAGATTTAATTTTAAGTCGCATACTTCAAAACATGATCAAGACTGATAATAATTTAAATGTAAACAGCAACTTTTAAACGCCAACTTATACATTTGTGATATATATCTATATATAAATCGAACAACTTGTTTTTTGTTACATTTTTTGCATTTAAAAAAAATGCTTAAGTTCCAAATTTGAAGTACAAATATCTGTCTTAATCAGCAGTTTATAGGACAGATATATCGAAATCTGAACCGATATACATATTGTAAAATGTTTTATTTGATAATCTTTATTAAAAAAAAGGAAAAATTTATATCCGATTGGGCAGTTCATATGGCAGTAATAGAATATAGTATTATTGACCGGTCACTATAGATTGAATAATCATCTAACGAAATCAGGAATTCAATCCAACACAGTCTATAGATATTGTAGAGAAGAGAGAAAAACTTCATACCATGTGCTTGGGGAGTGCCCGACACTGATACACAAGCGTAAGAAACACGTAGGAGAGTATTTCATGAATCATAAGGACTCAAGACTAGAAATGATAGGCTCTGTAGTGTCTCTCATTAAAAAACCGGACTTGGAGAAACACTCCAAAACGGACTAAGGGGCACAATACGTCTTTAAGGTCGCAGTACACTACTCCTTTTCAAATAATAATAATAACAATAGAATATGATGGTACGTTTACGTGCCACGTTTGTCAGATTTCGAATACAGAAAATAATCAAGGTCCATTTCCGAAAAAATATGTGTGTATACTATTCATCGAGTAGCTCAAAAACTGAGGAACTATTTTATATTGAAACTGACTGACAAACTCGACTTTTCGAGTTATTTTAAAATAATATTTTTAAAACACATTTAGAACAATTCCAAGTAAGATCCATGTCATGCTATATATAGCGCATGAAAAACCCATTATGGTAATATTTTCAATAGATTGTCTTCAAATTCCATTATCGGATTATATTGTTGATCCAATACAGTGTATTATTTTATTGACGTAGACTATGAAACGAGTGGTCTAAACATAAGAAGGGCTCAAATTTACTCCCTTCTACATAGTACAAGTACATAGGCATCGTTTAATAAATATGCTAATAGTGAATACATAATTATATGAATTTATTTTTCCGTAATATATAACTTTTGTATAATTTCAATTTATTGTTTTGTTTTTAAAAGATGAACGTACAAAATTATTTATTCACTGTTCATTTTTCTGTTACTTGAAAAGACCACCTTATCTGACTATAGTTTTATTATAAGTGTTTGAGTGCTCTTTATTCGATTGTTCTAAATTACCAGGCTATGGGCAAACAACTAGCAGCTTGTGAACTAATTATTATCTTATCAGTCACACAATGCAGGTTTATATTTATTATTTATATTTGTTTTTTCTTTTATTTTTGTTAAATTACCCGCAGCTTTTGAAACTGAATAGAATTAACATTTATTAACTAGGCACACACATATCTTAGTATGGCAGGTTTTGTTTTTAACAATTATTCTAAGTCTCATCACAAATTTAGTGTTGATTTTTTTTGTTAGCGAATTTATAATGATAATATTAATATTATTTTAATTATAAAATTAACTTCACTAATCTATTAAGTAAGCTCTACTTCTTTTACTTCCATACTTCTATTCTATTCTATTCTATACTATAGTACTTATATACAGGGTGTTTTGCTAGAAAGATTATTAACTTCGATAATTTTTTAGTATAGGTTATTAGGATTAATAGGCAACCTGGGTATGAAGATATCTCGGACAACTGTAAATCAGATGAACTTACTAAAGCAACTACGCTGCTATCCGACATTCACTTCCCTGATATTGATATTCCTCTTTCTACGGATAAACTGGCAATTAAACATAAATACCAACAATTGGTGAAGAAATCCTGAATAGTTGAAGATTCTTGTCAAATAATAAAACTTATCTGATCCAAATTAGAAGAAATTTATAGCTGTCAGCTGTTTCAGCTAAAGCGAAACCTACTCAGTAGTACGGAATCGGTGGTAGTACGTCACTTCGTATTAAAAAGGCACGCACAGAAAGGCATTGGCTCAGTGAATGAGAAGCAAATTGTACTTAACCTTTTGTATCATCAGTGTCCATAACTGACTGGAAGAAGATTCAATATCTTCAAGGTCCCTTTTCTGACTTGTCATCCTATAAAATTAAAGACATAGTTGTGTGAAACGTTCTTACTGCTGCCTTTGCTGCCATCTAAAAAAGTCTGCAAAAATATTCTAAATAACTGCTGACTAAATGTACATCGCTGTTGCCGAAACCAACAACAACTATGCCAGTGTTGAGATCAGACTAAGAATTATCATTGCTAATAGACGCGACAACAAGCTCAGTAAGTAATTAAGATGCAGAGCTCTATCGATATATGCTCCATGGCTCTTTCATACTAACTATGCTCCTGTAACACTAGGAGTATTCGAAAGAAAGTTATCCGTAATATTGGTCCTCTATGATTTAGGAACGTCTATCTTATGCCTCTTCAATATTGAACCAAAAAATTTTCTTGATATTCTCCTTTTAAAGATGTTAAATTGGATAGTTTTTTCAACACATGCAATGTCGGCATGCATGTATATACCGAGTTTATATTTCTAACTATTTGTCTTTATCTTAACTGAATATATAAATGTAACAAAATAGATCATTTTAAAAAATGAAAATCATTTTAAAAAGGAACCACAACAATAAATGTATATGGTAAATAAATAGTGTGTTTATGGGGTTGTCTAATTTACTGTTCCGAGGTTAACGTTAATAACACACACGTATGACTGCAATTTTAATTTGACTTTTTATGTCAACAAATTGTTTGTATCAATTAGATTAATGTTGTATTTCACCAGCAATAATCTAATGTCCTCTACGGACTGCACTGAATGCTTTCCAAGCAATGTTTAGTACCTTATCGCCATACACGGATAATACAGCCTGGCCAACTAGATGAATGTTCATTTTCAAAACGTCGAGAGTTTAATAGTTGTTTGCTTAAACACGATCTTTTGTGCAACCCTACCAAAAAACTTTAGTGATGACAAGTCTCTTAAATTTGGTGGATAAAACTTGAAATTACAAGTCAGAAAAATTTCTTGCCAACACATCCAAAACAGGGTATGTTGTGCTGCCTTATCCCTCCTGTTGTTGTATCTATATCTTTCATTTCACACACAATAAAAGTGATGATGTTGCTGTAACGATCATATATATCAGAATTGACGGTTTTTATGAAATTATTTTTCGACAGTTACTTGAGGATTGTCTCAGGTACGGTAATTTATTTTTTAACATATCTAGAGTCTCAGTATTAAAAGAAATTCGAACCAAAACATTCTCACCATTTTTGTAGTATGCCCTGGATGATAGTTTTATTTGATATATGGTATGTCACTGACTTTATACATATATTAATAAAATATAAATGACTTTCAAAAAATAAAAATATATATTTAATTTTGATTTTAAACCTTTTAATAATATTTGTAAAACTTAAGATAAAATAGGTCAATTAATTATTTATTGTACTGTAATAAACAAAAATATTTCCATTTTTATTTCTTTCGAAACGAAAATATTAAATTTTTTTTATCTAATAATTGTAGAAAAATATGTAGCCATGTACAGTATTTGCTCGGTAATAAAAACAGTCAAAAATTCAGAAAATGTGGTAAACTGAACTGTATTATTTAT